AGGATGGGCTGTGAGATGAGGAAAAAATATGAGAAAGAGAAGGAGGAAGGCATGGAGAAGGGAAAAAGAAGAGCAAGAGGAGGAAGAGGAGGAGAGGAGGAGGAAGAAGAAGAGGAGGAGGAGGAGGAGGAGGAGGAGGAAGTAGAGAAAGAATAAGAGGGAAGGAGGAGGATGAAGGAGGAAAGAGGAGGAGTAAGAAGGAAAGGAGGAAGAGGAAGGAGGAGGAGGAGGAGGAGGAGGAGGAGGAGGAGGAGGAGGAGGAGGAGGAGGAGAAGGAGGAGGAGGGGGAAGGAGGAGGAGGAAGAAGGAGGAGGAGGGGAAGGAGGAGGAGGAGGGGAAGAGGAGGAGGGGAAGAGGAGGAGTAAGAAGGGGAAGGAGGAGGAGGAAGGAGGAGGAGGGGGAAGAGGAGGAGTAAGAAGGGAAGAGGAGGAGGAGGAGGAGGGGGAAAAGGAGGAGGAAGGAGGAGGGGGGGAAAGAGGAGGAGTAAGAAGACAGCCTAAACTGGTCAAATATATCACTTGCACTGTGAAGCTATTCGTTCTCATTCATACCTTTGAGTACATCAAAGCTTTGAGGTAACAAGAGCACTGCAGAAAACTTTATAATGTGTGAAGAGTTACTACTTAGAAAACCACTTATCTAAACAGTAATATCCGTTACTATGAATCTATCAATTTTGTTCAAATATGACTAACAGATGTTGATCCTATTAGAATTTAAGTATGAGAGCCTTTCAGTATCAAAATGTAGACTACCTTAACCCATTTTTTTTCTATAGCACCCCAAACTTAATCATTTGTCTTCGTCTGTGATCTGTCATTTACTCAATTCCTAAATTCTTGCATTGTTCCACACACTTCTTAATCTCAACTGCTAGGCTTTAACACAATTTCAGCTACAAAAATACACATCTCCCTAGTTTATATTTACTTGAGCATTACAGTTTCCTTAATGGATTCAAGATCAACAGCAAACCATCATGAGCTAAAGAATATACTCTGGACTCAAATCAACAAGAAAATTTTGAATATATGAGTAAGAGCGTTTTCTGGGAGGTAAAAGCAAATCCCCGGAAAAAAGTGAAAATGTACACTGACATGGAAAAAGATAAGTAAAAGCATACAAATAAGATATAAGAGAAAAGTTAATCTAAAAGTTTAATCTTAAAAATGTATTGTAAAATATGACATTTAAACTGATACTTTCCTACATTAATATCAAAAGATTTCCATCACATATCTTTATCACCTTAAATTTTAACACTTGTATCTTTCACTATGGTTGATGCATTATACCAAATCTGGGTCAATTTTGAGATTATGAACTTTTCCAGATTTGTACTACTTCCAGGCTAATGGACTGACATCTTATCAAATTTTAAAATAAATATGATATATATATTAGATTTATTTTGCTATAATCGTATGAGTTTCCAGCAAGATTTTTCCATTTCCCTTAATTTAGATCAGTGTGTCAGCAGAGAGGACTACAATCTAAATAAACATGATTCAGGTGAGGTCTACTAACTCCTTGCATATAATGTCTTTCTTCAAAGCAAGTAACTTATTACCTACTGGCTTGCTTATCTATGTCATACATAAGCAGATGTGAAAGGCTATTCTAATATTCATAATATAAGGTGGATAAAAGGAAAATGTAAAAATATGAAAGCAGTCATGTTTCTGCAAGGTGTTTTACAATATATAAATGTGCATCTACCTCAGTTAATATTAAAGAGAACACAAACAGCAATATACTATTTAGCTATGGATAAAAATGTAATTATTAATTCAAGTCAGATAAATTGTAATAGAAGCAACTATTTTCATTGACTAAGAAAAACAGAATAAAAAAAAATCAATTCAAGTCCATACTGTCAAAAGATATGTTCGGTTCACATCATTTCATAACACAAAATATGCCTAGTCCTCTCCAGAAAACTTCCTGAAGATGATTACATGCTTATACATATCAAATACTCTTTGGCGTATTGTAAACAATGGGTACCATCTACCTAATGAAAAAATTATAAATCACCTACAGAATACTAAAATCATGCTGCTATAGTTCTCACATTCTCTACAAAGTAAGCATAAATAAAGAACACTTAGTAAGACAAAAAACATGTCTTCATGTACATCAATTTCAACCTAAGCATAATGGTTATCTCCTATTCTGGCTCTCATGGAAAGAAGTCTATTCAATTCATACTATTCACTCCCTTTTAATTTCCATTACTGTTCCTGAAAATATGAGAGAGCAAATACTGATTTTCTACATCTGTGGCTCAGTTCTTTTTCTCTAACATAAAGTTTCATAATTTACCTATCCTACAGTAATCTAACACTTTCACAATGGGATGACATCTTATCATGTCAAGGTAGACAAACACCTCATGCTGGGACAACAGCTTCACATGTAACTGTTCCACTATTTTTTGTAAAGACCATAATTACTTAGCTTCTTAACACTTCAACACTTAACAGTACTTTGATCACATTAGTCTGGTGATACTTTCTTACCGTTTGTTCTTTATACTTAGTTCTCGTTCAAGAATGTATCATATGCTCCTGGAATAAATACATGTTAGAGTGGGCAACGGAACAATTATATTCCGCCACTTTAATAATATGATAATGCTATGGTTCACTATTTACACTGATACAGATCCATGAGGCTATTACTGAGCAGGTGAGAGTGACCAGGCTTCTCACTTGCTCTTATATACGAGTTTTATACTGAATAGGGTAGTTTTACTAGCCTCTCACACTTAAGTTTCACATTTTTTGTGACCTATGATGATATCTATATGTAAATAACAATATACATGAGCAACAGTAATAACAAAATATATAACCAAGGTATGATTATGACAATCTTATGAAATATATACTTTAATATTACAAAAGGATTAACATAATTTCTTACTACCATGGTATGATTCCCTATGACTTGTCTGTTCATTGGTTATGTAGGACTAAGTGCACTTACAGATGAGGAATAGCCCCTCAAATGTAGCCCCTAGTCCCTTAAAGCCTCTCCTTAGTCTCATATACTAAAAAACAAGTTATGTTACAGCCACGAGCATACAGAGTTGTGTGATTTTATGTTTCCCCTACTTATGATTTTTTCCGTGAGTAGTTGACACCTCATACACCCTGATGGGTTGTTCGGTATGACCCTGGGGTCCTTTCATGACTGGGCTAAACAAAAATATCAAGTAACTACATCACAGTTTAAAAACTTGCTATTCTGCTTTATCAGTGTGTTGGTATAAACATTTCATAATCTACTAATCATTAATACAAATTTCAGCCAATCATACAAGTAACTGTGACATAATGAGCAAGAATTTTCCTTACAGTGATATGCTCCAGTGATATACTGGAAATCAGAAAAATTTAGCAAAAGGCCAACTATTACAAATGGACAGAATATCATGTTAGGTATATTTGTTTTGTCCTAAATATATGTCTAACCAATAGCTCTGACGGGCATATCTATCTGCTATAATTCTGTTTAGCTAAATCTCACAATGAATATAGCATGCTCATTTTTTCCATCATGTTTACATATTTGGTTGGTTTACTGAAGAAGCCATAACTATGTTTAAGTCCCTAAAAGGCATACTATTACTGGTAACCACCAAAAATTTTAATATCCATTTGCCATCACCATCAGTGTATTTAAAGAGTATACAAAGCCTTCAGCAATAATATTTGGAGTAATGGCATCATCCTTATTTTGCACAGATAGGGATTCAGGAAATGATAATTATATTTAAAGAGTATACAGAGCCTTCAGCAATAATATCTGGAGCAATGGCATCATCCTTACTTTGCTCTTTGTCTGTGCTTGGGTAACCCATTACACAATATTTTTTCCCGCATAACATTAAGCCTGTATACATTTTCCAAAATTTCAAAATCCCAGTATCTCATCCGTATTACATTTAAAAAGGCCATTAAAGGAATTGAAACAACAAGGGCAAATGAGTGTATAATTTTTGACAAACATTATTTATCAATGAAAATATAATCCAACATTTTATATGACAAGTTACTTATTTAACTCAGAAAATTTATAAACTATCCCCCCACTACAGGTGTAAAGCTAAACGCATAATTGCTATCAACATTGTTCCTTACCCTATTGACAACAGGAGTGCTTATATAATACAATGTCCAATGTGGTTTTCTCAAGTCTAATTAGTTTTGTTTGAACAGATGGCTCCAAAGGCACTTTAGTCACCAAAGAATTAAAAGTAAACCTAACTGAGTTCACCTGTTATTTATTCATTGAATTGATGCATAGAAAAGTGTAAATCTTAAATACACTTGTTACTGTTAATAATACTATAATAATAGTGCTGAAGCTGGTTAAAATACCTAAAAAATAGAAAAGATGAAGAAGAAGAAGAATAGGAATTGGGGAAACAGGTAAGACCAGATAGGTATAGGAAGTGACACTCTCGTGATTGAGCTTGTGTAGAAATCTCTGAGTACACAAAATCAACACGACAAATCCACAGTGAACATTACATGTACACTCACAATTTACAATTTCCAACATCATTATACAAAGTATAGGAACATTAATGTCCTTCTAGAAGAGAATGATTGCAGGCACTATCACAGAACCACCTCACAGGAGCTTTCTTTACTAAATATACAAGATTTTGCTGTCATGTATTTCATTGCATATAACATAAGTAAGCGTATATGTACATCTGTGTTGTGCGTTTCTTAGTACGTCTGCATGTGTTGTGTGTATTTTTGGGTATGCCATTTTGCCTCCATGTGTGTTTTTTAAAGTATGTCTGTGTTTGTTTGTTTTCCCACTTTTGTGAGTGCATGCATGCCTGTCTGCTTGTGCATGAATCAAAGAAGCCACTGGCAAGCTGAGGAGGATGGAGAGGAGGAGGAAAATACGAGATATGTCCCAGGGAAAGGAATAATAGAAGCATAGGATAGGGATGGGGAAGTGGGAGTATAGGTGAGGTGGCATTCCCGGTTTTGGGTATGTTTGGGGGTGAAATTTGGCAGTGGCTAAAGCATTGGGTAGCAGGACATCAGTGTTTAAAATAAAGTTCTAGCATGGATTGCCTCTCCTTTCCCTTACCAACCATAATCTTTCTACCTCACTCTTGCTTTCCTATTCTAATATTATCTTAATCTTATTCCCAGAATAAAATTCAAAATAAAATGTTCTTAAAATCACATTTATAAAAAGACTGGTTTTAAATACCAAATACATAATATCAATGATTGTTTTATATCTGTCAACATATTTCTTTTAATATTTTAATGTGGAGATGATGTTCATAAGTAATGTGCTTTTTTATCATGATAATCATTATCATCCTAACTGAATTATTATTAGTGTCATTATCATAGTTGTTATTACTAATAACATTCCTATTACTACCATCATCACCATCACAATCATCATTGTCATCATCATCATGGTTATCATTATTGTCACTAATTCTAATTCTAATAATGAAAGCAATGATAATAATTGTAAACAACATAATCACAACTGCAAACAAAAGTCTGTTATTTGTTTTTATGTAGGTACAGCAAATGAGTTGAGTGAGTTCTATGCTTAAACCCTATGCCACTGGGAACACATGATACCCACGGATGTTTTGTTTTGTCTTTAAACAAAGAAGGCTCCACAAGTGCTTAGCCACAAAAAAATCAATTAGCAAGCCTACTTAACCTCACCTAATTTCCCCTACCCTTGACTTTTTGGGATTTATCTTTCTAGTGTTATCAGCATCAATACTATTTTTATCATTACAGACATTACAATTATCATATTGTTAACAATGTTAAAAGAAATAAAAGATATATTATAATATTTCCAATAATCAAGGAAAAAGGTAAACAGGAAAAATAGGTAAGACTACTGACTCCTTGGTGACTATGTACTTGTGGAACCATCAGTGTAAACACAACCACTAAACCAAAATCACAGTGGACATGCTATCCCCGTTGGCAAAAGGTTACGAAAGGGATTCCAAATTGTCAAATTGCTGTAATTCAAACTTGAGATGAACAACATTTCTGGAAGATCATATGTAAAGTGTTCTAGAATATACTATATCAGACAAACTATAGCAAAATGTTTCTAACACATACATCATACATATGTATAAGACGATCAAAAGACAAAACTAGTGTTTCAATTATTCAAATATTGGAGTCTTGATAGCAATCTTCATGTTGTCTATATATATATAATATATATATATATATATATATATATATATATATATATATATATATATATATATATATATATACACGCAAATGCTTAGCTTACACATTAAAAAAAGTTTCATAGATTTGTCCTACTTCATTTATCATAATAATTGTTGTTTCCTTGTTATCATTATTATATCATCCCCATTCAATATTAATAATAATGATTTTTGTTTTGTTTTTATCATAATCATTATCATTTCTGCTATCATTATCATTATAATTATTAGTATTAGCAGTAGTATGCATGCACTCACAAATGTAGGAAAGCACACACACAAACACAGACATATACAGAAAAAAATACATGCAGGCAAAAAGACAAATTAACACACAACACAGACGTAAATAAACACCCACTCACATGAATCATTTTCTACAACCTGCACAATGTCAGTCACTACCCTTCATTCTTACCCCTTCTCCCATTACAAGCCAACAGTTTAACAGATTTCACTGAAAAATATATTTTTGGTGTTTATAACATACTAATGTCCCCTGTGTAGCCTTACTCTCACTTAACTGGATCATTAACCCAATGCCACCATGTAAAAAAGTTTGGCAAGTGGACGTAACAGGATTGTTGGCGCACATCGGCTGTTTCCCATTTGGCACCTAAAAGCTTTTATTTTGCTCTAATTTATAAAAATATTAAAATCTTGAAGGTTTACCTTCATTATGGGTGCTATTGCCTAAAATCTTTACCACATACATGAAACAGCTACTATCAGAAAAAAACAAACTCCATCCGATGAGCCAATGGTGCGGGAATGGTCATGATACAATGCCATCCGTTTTTCGGTCCACAACAGCCATGGCATGTACGTACATGCCACCCAGCAGCTAGTGGTTAAAATACACTACAGCAAAAGCTTGTACCGTTCATAAAGAACTTCTGCAAGGTCATCCTATGTTAGCACAGGCAACCATTCCCTTCCAGAAGAGTACAGAAATTCCTACATTCAGTCTAGTGGGTTGGAGATTTTGGATCAGATATTTCACAAAAACAATAACAAACAGATCTGTCACTTGACTACATGATCTTAAATCAATCATACCCCCACAACTCTGCAATCATACCCCCACGAAGATGCTCAGCTTCTGCTTCGTGAACTTTATACTTCAGTTGTTCTATTTACGAGTACACGGAATCAAAGTAAAACAGTAAACCTTCATTCATCAAGTTAACAAAAGTGAACTTTCATGATTCACCATATAATGAACAGTTTGTCTATGGTACAACACTCAGTCTCATTTTGTCTCATTGTAAAAGTACTATAAATCACCTAAATTACAATAGCACCTAACGCATAATTCCATAATCATTAATACCATCAAACTATAAGACATATGCATTATACCAAGTCACTAATGAACTGTTACACTAATTATGTCTAGTTTCAGAAATCAGCCCACATTCTGATATCCTATCCACTTACAATCTATAATAATACAATCTGTAAACTCTGTTTGCTCTAACTGATCCATAAACCGTCAACAATGCTGGAACACTTAAATAGAGATACGCCTTCTTTACGCTTTCTCTGGCTAATCAGTACCACCCTGCTAATCTCTTTTCCCTGTACTAACCTAATAAGTAAAAGACAAATACAGGACAAACTGCAAGCACCATGCAAAGCATAATTGAGCAGCCGTCAAAAGTCAAAGCAATTACAAACTTTTTTCAAAGATCCCTTACCTGAGGTCTGATGGGTTGTGGTGGTGTGGGCTGGGGTATGTGCCTGCCCGCCATCATGGCCACTGAGGGATCACCCTCGTACATGCCCCGACTCCACTTCATCAACCTGGGTAATATGAGACAAACATTAGGAATGAAGAATAAAAAAAAGAATATAAAACACCTAGAAAGACAACACTGATGAGTTTTCTATACATAAAAAAAATAAAAATGAGTTTGTACTAAATAAATAAATTAATTAATTAAAATTTAAAATAATCACAAAACATTTTAAACCTTTGATCCTGAGATTGAAAGACCCACCCCACATATATGTTAACCCAATAATTGAAGAGCATCATGAAACACTCATAACTATAGACGACAACTGACACAAAATTACAGAGAGAGCTTAAGTGCATTTACTACTTTCAGAATTAATAAAGCATCTTTCAGCTTCCAATACTTGCTCCAGTTCCTACTATCTGAAGACTTTAACCCTATCACTCTTCTACAGGAAGAAGATTATATGCTTTTTTTTCCATGAGAATATCTATCAATATTATGCTGACAGGAAAAACTGTCCCAAATAACCTATTTCTTCTTTAAAACATTATAATATATAACATAATGATGTTCCTTGAAAGTCATTAGAGAATTTAGTAAAGACATTGTTTTAGGAGAAATGTCTCATTCATTTATTACAAGTTTCAGCAGAATGGAAGTGACATTTGATAGTTCTCTTGAACTATAACTTTCCCAAGTATCACTACAAAGAAATATTATCATCAAGTTCATAAAAAGCATATCAGTCGACTAGGTTGATTATCAAACAATTAATCTAGTCAAAGACGAGTTTACAAAATCAGTTACCATTTTTGACTCGGCTCTTTAACTAAGTGTCTCTCTTGGCAAGATCAT